CTCTTATGTGCTACCAGCACAGCTTTAAGGCTGAATTCCAGGAATTCAGCTACTTTGTAGAAACTGTAGGCATACCATGAGTTAAGTCTAACGAGGTGCCTGCTGCCTCATATACTTATCTCCAATATTCACATCTGACAGGTTTATTGTGCTCCAGCAAGATAACGTTTGGAGCTCCATTGCTGCTCACTGTGGTTCTAGTTCCATCAAGAACAGAGTCATTGGAACTGCTATGCCCACCCCTCCCTTACTTTTGTCAATTTACAGAATCATTTGTATTATGTGAGCTCGTTCATAAAATACAAAAGCTTATGTGAATGGGCAGAGAGGGGAGGGGCAGCCACAGCTGTTCCTTGTGCTTCTGTCCTCTCACAGCTGGAGCTTATCCTTCAGGAGTGCAATAAATCTGTCACATATAAGTAATAAAGACAAGTCCCAGAGGTGACATGCACCTATATGGACATAACTCATAATGTGCCTGCACTTTCTGCAAAGTTGCTGAATTCCTGGAATTCCACTTTTATCCTAGCTAGAAAGCTTTGCAATTAAAAAAATAAACCCCATATATAGTTTATTACTATATACATAATGGACTGCATTGCAGCAATACTAAGGGTTCAACTAGGCTTTTAATCTGCCAGCAATGCGGTATCCTGCAAAAACCAAATTGTTGAGTCATGTGCAATTTAGATATACCCAATCCCATCCAATGTAGGCTCTTACCTGTCTCTAACGCACAAACAGGAAAAATTGCACATTACAGAATCACAAAATAAGAATCTGAACTTTCACAGTATCTGTAAAAGTTGCAGAAAATAAAATGATATATGTAAATCAGATTATGGTGAAGCATCTTTGGTTCAGTTGTTATTTTTCTTAGACAGCACTGGAAGTTAGTTGACCTTAATTACAAGTTGCCCAAAGTCACTTTTTAAAGGCATCCTGATAGAAGGGCTTCGTACACAGAGACAGACCTCTGCATTTTGACAACTAAAATTAACATTTTCTCCATTGCTTTGCATTGTGGAAGGCCAATGGGAGAGAAGGATGCTAAACTTTCAACTCAGCTTAAAGGAAACCTGCATTAAGTGAACTATGTAGCCTGCTATTTGACTTCTCCATTTGAAAATGCTGAATGATTGCTCATCTTGCAGATCAAGAGTTGTAATTTCACTCACACCCAGCTTGCTGCACGCTTGTTCTGGGTTGCTGGGCACATCCATTTTATTATAACCATGTACAAATACCTTTAGCAAAAAGTGCTTTTTTTCCTGTGGTCCATCAACTAGCTGAAACAGTTGCCTTCTGATCATCAGCTACCACCTATTTCCTGTCTATAAGACTGGTCACTGCACCCTGCTCCTATGTGCAGGGTGAATGGTCATCAAACTGCCCCCATAAAACAGTGCTGATGTCACTACTATCTGCATTTAAGCAGAGGGAGCTTGCAGGCTTTACACTACCCCTTTTTGCCCTGCTGCTCTGTGCTGCACCACTCAGGCTGACTCCTACACTGACAGCACTAAGCAGAGCAGGAGTACAGCAATGTCGTTGATCAGCTAAACTATCAAGGAAACCCATGACTGAGCCTCTTTCCCTTCTCAATTTAGTCAGTTGGATATGATTCCTTACCCTTGTGATGCAATCTTCCATGGTCTCAGACATAAGCTGGCCAAACACTGTTGGAAACTCAGCCAGTCGAACATGGGCCAGTTGAATTTCTATCAGTGTCTGGCCTCCCCCACTTAGATTCAATTACTTAATCAACTTCTGTGGATTGGACATGTGGGAAATTTTTTAGATGATCAGTAGCTACAAATAATCAGCTACAGCTACTGATCAGTATATTCTGACAGCTATGGGTCTCAGCAGAGGGAATCCTCTACCTCGTTTGTGCGGATGAAGGAATGTTTTTTTTTAGTTTAGCCTGCTGGCTAAACAAAAATAGAAATTACTGTGTATGGCCAGCCATACACAGATAAAACAATTGTGCACTTCTTTCCTGCTGTGACAACATGCAGACAGGATTTCACCACAGCAATCATTCTCTCCATTCAGTTTATACCGTTTATCACTATTCATTTGCTAAATAGCCATATACAGTGAAGGAAATAAGTATTTGATCCTCTGCTGATTTTGAATGTTTGCCCACTCACAAAGAAATGATCAGCCTAAAAATCAAATGGTAGGTGTATTGTAACACAGAGACAGAATAGCAACAAAAAATTCAAAATAAATGCATGTCTAACAAATTATGCACTGATTTGCATATTCATGAGGGAAATAAGTATTTGATCCCCTATCATTCAGCAGGATTTTTGGCTACCAGGTGTCTTTCATACAGATAACAAGCTGACATTAGAAGCAATCTCTTAAAAGGGAGTGGTTACCTGTATAAAAGACACCTGTCCACAGGAGCAATGAAACAATCAGATTCCAAACTCTTCACCATGGCAAGGACCAAAGAGCTGTCCAAGGATGTCATAGACAGGATTGTAGGCTTACAAAAGACTGGACTGGGCTACCAACTAATCGCCAAGCAGCTTGGTGAGAAGGAGACAACAGTTGGTGCAATCATTCGCAAATGAAAGAAAGAAACACAAAACAACTGTCAGTCTCCCTAGGTCTGGTGCATCATGCAAGATCTCACCTCGTGGAGTGTCAATGATCATGAGAACAGTGAAGAATCATCCCAGAACTACACATCAGGATCTTGTCAATGATCTCCAGGCAGCTGGGACCACAGTCACCAAGAAAACAATTGGTAACACACTATGCTGACAAGGATTGAAATCCTGCTGTGCCCGCAAGGTCCCTCTGCTCAAGAAAGCACATGTTCAGGTCCATCTGAAATTTGCCACTGAACATCTGAATGATGAAGAGGAGGACTGGTTGAAAGTGTTGTGGTCAGATAAGACCAAAATTGAGCCCTTTAGCTTCAACTCAACTCGCCGTGTTTGGAGGAGGAGGAATGGTGCCTATGACCCCAAGAACACCATTCCAACTGTCAAACATGGTGGTGAAAACATTCTGCTTTGGGGGTGTTTTTCTGCTAAGGGGACAGGACAACTGCACCGCATTAAAAGGGACGATGAACGGGGCAATGTACCTACAAATCTTGGGTGAGAACCTTCTTCCCTCAGCCAGGGTATTGAAAATGGGTTGTAAATGGGTGTTCCAGCATGACAATGACCCAAAACACACGGCCAAGGCAACAAAGGAGTGGCTCAAGAAGAAGCACATTAAGGTCCTGGAGTGGCCTAGCCAGTGTCCAGACCTTAAATCGATTGAAAATCTGTGGAGGGAGCTGAAAGTTTGAGTTGCCAAATGTCAGCCACCAAACCTTAAGGACTTGGAGAGGATCTGCCAAGAGGAGTGGGCCAAAATCCCTCTTGAGATATGTGCAAACCTGGTGGCCAACTAGAGGAAACGTCTGACCTCTGTGATTGCCAACAAGGGATTTGCCACCAAAGTACTAAGTCATGTTTTGTGAAGGGAATCAAATACTTATTTCCCTCATGAACATGTAAATCAGTGCATAATTTGTTAGACATGCATTTCTTTTGAATTTTTTGTGTCTATTCTGTCTCTCAGTGTTACAAGACACCTACCATTTGATTTTAGACTGATCATTTCTTTGTGAGTGGGCAAAGATTCAAAATCAGCAGGGGATCAAATACTTATTTCCTTCACTGTATGCACGAGTCTGACAATTAAAGAGATTGTTCCAATGGGAATAGGTAACCGTCTCTGCTTAAGCAGGGTATACATGCATAGTTTTTTTTTCGCCCAATCAACACAGAACCCCACATCCACACAAGCGAAGTTGATGCAGAGATCTCCCCTGGCTGTAGTACAATATTCTGATAGGGAATCATAATAGACAGATCAGAGCTGCAGGCATTGGCTGCCAGCACTAACCGAATGCTGGTTTTCCAGCAGAACTGTTTGACGGAAGCTGGTTGTCAGACCAGCTTTTGTTGAAGAGACAGGGGTATACACATACTTAAATTTGGCCAGTTCCTGCTGTATACACCACTTTACACTACTAGTATAACAATGCAGCTTTCCTGTGCTGTACAACTGCTGCAGACATGACAAATCATTGTCCATACAGGCACGCACAGCCTATACAAGCTCAGATATGACACCCTCCATGCGCATGAAGACAGGGTATCCCAACAGCCCCACCCACTGGCTCCAGCAAGGGAGATTTCTAAAGAAAAGCCCATTGATTAAACATTAGAAAATCTCCATAACAGTGCAAGGTAAAGAGAAATCTTTTTTTTTTTTTTGCATCATCAAATACTGTAAGTGGAATCTTTCTAATGGATAATTCTATTGCCTGGAGTTCAGCTTTAATGGTAGAAGGACTGCTAGACCTCTAGAACTGAGTCAGTTCAAAAGGTGTATCGATGTCACCGTTTCCAACAGTACTTATGCATAAACGCATTAGCTCTCCAGTAAGGTCAGCTATTCCAATGGTACGTTCAACTTCACATGCAGCTTTTGTAAAAGATGGCATTGATTTTGTTGATTACAACAATTAATACATTTACATTAGACATGCATGGGAGGATTGGCACTGTCCTTTTTTTTAGGAGGTAGCAAAGGCAACCAGGCAAACAGCATTTTAAGGAAAAGGGGTCAGCAGTATCGATCTACATATTTCTCTTACTGCAGATTAGTTGTAAAGCAGAGGTTTGCATACCAAGCACATGCATTTTATTAGGTACTAATATGCTATGCAAGGAGGCTCTTTTAACCATTAGTAAAGACATACTAGTATGTTTCGGTGCCTTGTATCACTTGACACAATAAAGATCAGTCCAAGCATATCTGCTTTAGGATTCCATGTTGGAACATACAATTGTAAGATATACAAATATAATTTTAAAATTATACTCAAAACTTGTGCACAGTTACAAATGTAAAATATTAAACAAGAATTACAAAATAAAAGTGTTGAACTGGTAAACTTGGGTCAACATTATGGCCTTTTAAGACATGCCATCATCATGTTCAATGAGTTCAGATTTGGATACAAACAGATCAGCAAGCATGTGTTTTGGAATTTCTGAGCCTCTCACTTTTAACATGTAACAGGCATTTTCCACTTTCCCCAGGCTCTGTTTTAAGGTATACAACTTTCTTGAAATCTCATATGGACCAGTGTTACCAATGTAAGCGAATCCATCAAAAATTTCACGCAAGAACTGAGTCAGTTCAAAGGGTGTATCGATGTCACCGTTTCCAACACTACTTATGCATAAACGCATTAGCTCTCCAGTAAGGTCAGCTACTCCAAGCAAATAATCCACATGAGTTATCTGCAGGCTTAATGTGTCCTGTCTGGTTTGGTCTTCATTATTCGAAGCAATATTGATCTATAAGTAGCAAGATAATTTCTTAATACTTAGACAGTAAAGCTCATTAACATTTACATATCTTCCCTACAGGCATGTCCTAGCAGTCCCATATGAGGATGTTGTAAGCAAAGAGCTTTGCCTGTTTAACCTTTTTGCTGCCAAGCCATGTGCTCCACTTTTAAACTCAGGTGGCCAGACCATTTTTGCTATTTTATTTTTTCCCCTCACAGATTTTAGAGTTTGTGAAAGATGCCCCAAATCATATTTTCTGAAAGCACATGACCTGTAGATTTAAAAAAAATGTGCTACTGATTTTTTAGGCGCCGCAATATTTGGGCAAGTGTTTATCAAATTGCTATTTTCACTAAAATCATCATTAGTGGATATGTACATGGCAAAATTTACAACATTCCTGCTAAATCCCTATTAAATAAAGTTAAAACTGCATTGAGTTAATAAATAGCAAATATTTGCAAATGTTAAATTGCGCTTTTTTGTGAAATGGTGAAAACTAAAAGTGCACAAAAAACTGTAAATAAAAACAATTTACTCTAAAATCTGAAGTCTTCATTTTTCACTTATATAAAAAAAAAAAGTGCTACTGATTTTTTAGGCACCGCAATAGTTGTGCAAATGTTCATCAAATTGGTATTTTCACAAAAAATACACAAAAGTCATTATTAGCGAACACAAACACAACATTACAACTTACAAAACTCCTGCTAAATTGCTAAGGCCTCATTCACATGGGGTGTACCAAAGCGTATGCCATTGGAGGGCCGTGTTTTCCCGCATGGGGATGCACAGGTGTTTTATGCATCCCTATGCAGGCAGTCCTATTCAACTGGGATACAACAGCTGCATGGGCACAGCTGCTGCTCCCAATCTGACATTCGTGTGGGTTCGAGCTCAAACGCAGACAGTGTGAGCTCGGGAACATGTACCTGGACCCACATGGATGTCAAATTGGGAGCAACTGCTGTGTTCATGCAGTTGCTACATCCCCAAATTACATCAATGGGGCTGCCTGCACGGGGATGCACAGAACACCTGTGCATTCCTGTGCTGGTAAACACAACCTTGCAGGAGCATACGCTGTAATATGCCCTGTGTGAATAAGGTCTTACATTATTTTTATTATTTTCTTTTATATACAATTTTCTTTTTTAATATTTTGTATTTTTTTGAGGTGGGGATGTGGGGACTTTGGTGAGATTTCAGTCCCTTTCTCTGTCTCAAAAAAGAGACAGAGCTCTGATGACAGTCTCTTTCTTTGCAACCTGAGGTGCACTGTACATGAATGAATAGGAGTCTGTATAGAGACTCCTATTCATTCACAAAACTGAAGCATAGTAAACACTGTTTACTATTCTCCAGTGATCAATCGGCACAGGGGCAATTAGTAGTGACTGCTCACTGTGCTCATTCAAGAAGAGGAAGGGGGCTGATAAACACAGGTTTACCAACCGCCCCTTCCCACTCTCCATCCTCATAGCTTGTCTGTTTGTCTTAAGAGAAGCTGCAGCTAGCGAGAGGGGGAAGAGGGAGAGCCGGCCAGCAGCACAACAGGACTAAAGCAGGATTTGGGACCAAAACCGGAATGGTTTCCTGCACCCAGAACCACAGAGGAGCCCTACCCCAGTGTAGGAGGGACTAAGAGTTTGGCCAGCCCACCCCAGAACCGTGATCCACTACAGAACCCAGAGGAGAGAGTTCCTGTCACACAGGATGCTACACCCATCCATCCCTTAAAGGGGACCTCTGGCTGACTGGATCCCCATACTACCCAGAAGTACCCATACACCACCCAGAGGGAGGATAATCCTTTGCCTGGCCTAATCCGCTTCCTTAAAGGGGACCTCTGTATATTGATTTATATGCATATTTCCATTACGCATCTGGTGAGTGCGTATTCTTACCCCACTTTTCAAAGCACAAGCACTGAACTATCGCTGCAGTTGACACTTTATGCATGGATTGTCACCTTAAGAACTATTTATTTATTTTTTTTCCAACATATTTATTTATACGGACATTATTATTATAAATTCATTAGTGCTGCACTTATATTTATACTTATGACTGAGGTTTTATTTGGTTACCTGTAGTGCAATAGCTGCTTTTATTGAGAGCGCTCACTTTTTTATCCAATTTTTTTTAGTTATGACGACTACCAGGGATTTCTCTCATTTAGGAGGGATTGCCTCTCATTTCCTGTTGTTGTTTTGGGACAGGAAGTAAAGAGATGTCTCCCCAATGGAAGCAAAAAAAGAAAAAAACTGAGAGGGGTTATAATCCTCTCCTACACTATCCAAAATGGAAAAAAAAAAATTGCCTTTAGTTCTACCTTATGCTATATTATGTAACTGAACTGTGAATCAAAGAAACACAAAAATAAACAAAATAAAGGATAAAAAAATACTTACATTATCAAATATTAGCTGTCTGTTAATATCCTCCAGCCTTAAAAGAGTTCTGTTTGTAATAAAATGTTGAAAGGTAACTGCTTCAACATATTCTTGAAGACCTACATAGGAAAGATTAAGCACTTTAGTTGAATGAAAGCATTACACATTACACGTACCGTATTTTTCGCCGTATAAGATGCACTTTTTCTTCCCCAAAACTGGGGGGGAAATGTCAGTGCGCCTTATAAGGCGAATATGGAGCGGCCGGTCCGGTATTTCCACCGCGGCCGTGTCAGAATACCGGGCCGGCCGCTCAGCTCTGCAGCGGGACCTTACCTGTTCCTCTATCCAGCGGCGCGCTGTCTTCCCGGCTTCTGTAGTGTGGGCGCTGGGCATGACAGCCGGGTGCCAAGTGCGCATGCGCAAGAAGCGGTGCTTTTTGTGAATGGTAAGGCGGTACCTGGGACACATGACCAATCCCAGAAGCCGCCGGACCAATCACAAAGCGCAAGTGCTTCTCGCTCATGCGCACTGGGCACCCGGCTGTCATGCCGAGCGCCATTACAGAAGCCGGGAAGACAGCACGCGGCTGGATCGAGGAACAGGTAAGATGAAAGAACAACTCCGCGGAAGTAAGAGCGGGTACCTGTCAAATTCAGGTACCCCTCCCCAAAGGTCAGCAGTCATCTGTGCTGTCCGCAGTCTCTGGTCATCCCTGTGCTGTAATGGCGCTCGGCTGTCATGCCGAGCGCCATTCAGAAGCCGGGAAGACAGCACCGGCTGGATCGAGGAACAGGTAAGATGAAAGAACAACTCCACGGAAGTGTGCTGTCCGCAGTCATCTGTGCTGCCCGCAGTCTCTGGTCATCCCTGTGCTGTCCGCAGTCTCTGGTCATCCCTGTGCTGTCCGCAGTCTCTGGTCATCCCTGTGCTGTCCGCAGTCTCTGGTCATCCCTGTGCTGTCCGCAGTCTCTGGTCATCCCTGTGCTGTCCGCAGTCTCTGGTCATCTCCTGTACTGTGTCTGCAGTCTATTAGTTCAGAATTTTTTTTCTCCTGTTTTCTGCCTCTAAAACCTAGGTGCGTCTTATGGTCAGGTGCGTCTTATACGGCGAAAAATACGGTATATATGTGCACTACTATAAAACAAATGATATGTCATTTTACTTCTAATTGATACCATATGCATTGAATCAATGTCAGAGCCACCCACAAACTCAAAGCTTTAACTCAAGTGACACTTTATAGTATTCCCTTTTGTTCCTATTCCAGCAGCTTCAAAAAAGCTTATATAGGGAGGAAGAGGAGGAGAGGAGGAACTTGGCCAGCACAGACAGCAATTAGACATTCCCATAATAGGAAAACGCTATGTGACGTGCTTGGAAAGAGGAGGCTGTGCTATGAAACTGATTTTTCCTGGAGCGGCCAGCCAAGCATTTAAAATACTTGACTTTTCTGTGCTTTTAAACTTGGTCACTCTTAGGTATTTAGGTACTGCTGTTCAATTCTCTCTCAAATGCAGAAACGCATTTTTATTGCTACTTATTGAAAAATAATTATATTAACACGGCGATGCAACCCATTTCTTAAAGCGGAGCTCCACCCAAAAGGGGAAGTTCCGCTTTAAGGACTGCTCCCCCACCCCCCATTAAGGATTGGCACCTTTGGGGAGCGCGGGGGGAGAGCGGGTACCCGAATTTGACAGGTACCTGATCCCACTTCCGGTCCGATCGCCTAGGCGATCGGAAATGGAAGGTGTCCTCCCTCCCTGTAGTCTTTTGGGACACGTGACAGGTCCCACAAGACTATAGGAACATTCACGAAGTGCAGCGCTACTCGTGCATGTGCAGCGGGTACCTGGCTGTGAAGCCGCAAGCTATCACAGCCGGGTGCCCACACTGAAGATGCCGGCCTCCTGGTATCCAGGACGTCCGGAGAAACTAGCTGCAGGGGACACACACCGGGGGGACCGAGGGACAGGTAAGTGGCTATTTTTTAAAAGTCAGTAGCTACAGTTTTTTGTAGCTGCTGACTTTTTTTTTTTTTTTCATAGGTCGAGTGGAACTTCGCTTTAAGCTGGCCATAGCTGGCTTAGGAAATAAGCTAGGGGAAGCAATATAGCACACATCCTCCCTTCTTCAATTTCTGGCTAACAGACTGGTTAGGGACTGAATGGTCCTGTTAACCATTTCCTATGAAGACCAGAAGATCAGGGAAGCAACACAGAGAGCAGGAGCCAACAGCATTGAAAGTTGTAAACTGCAAGACTTAACAGTTTACTGGGGAATCTATTATTGTGCTCATTTGTTGTAAAGGCTTTTGTATCCTAATGCATTCTCTGCATTAAGGTAAAAAAAAAAAAAAAAAAAAAAAAAGAACTTTTGTCAGCTCCCCCTCTAGCACCCCCAAATACTTACCAGAGTCTCCCGCCTCATGGGACTCCGTAAGAGCCATTGGCTCCTGCTTCCTTCAATCAAATCCATTGAGGAGGGAGAGGGGCAGAACCACGCCACACAGTGTGTGTCAATGGACACACAAAGTGTGGCTCGGGATTGAGCCTGCACGTCTGCCACCATAAAAAGCAGCTTCCTATGGTGAGGAAAGAGAAGAAGGGAGAGAGCGCACAACCACCCTAGTGTGATACTGTTTATTAAACGTTAAAATAAAACATAAATCATTCCACTCACATTTCGTAGAATAAATGTCAGCATTTAGATACGTCTCGGCCACATACTTATATATACATCCAGTGCCCATATTTTACAGTGGCGATCCAGAGTTGTGGCCTAGACTATCTAAATGCTGACATTTATTCTACCAAATGTGAGTGGAATGATTTATGTTTTAATAAACAGTATCACACTAGGGCAGTTGTGAGCGCTCTCCTTTCCTCTCTGTTGTTTAGATTCATGACCATACTCTGTGGTTTATCAAGAGAGCTGTAATGCCACAATGGCTGGTGATCATCATACCATGTGACCTACTAGTACCAGCGTGCCTTCCTGGTGGGAGTCCTGACCAGCGCACTTAACTGTGTATTTTTGGTGGCTTTCTATGGTGGCACATGGAGAAGAGAAAAAGCCCAAAGCGCCCGCGGAGTACCCCAGAAGAGGATGGTTGGGGCTGCTCTGTGCAAAACCACTGCACAGAGCAGGTAAGTATGCCGTGTTTGTTATTTCGAAAGCAAAAAAAAAAATTTACAATCACTTTAAGCTAAAAACTACTTTGAGTATAGAATAACAAGAATAATAGCATGTGTGAGTGCTGAATTTGGAAACTACATGCGTTCATGATAGTCATTTATTCTCAATAACAGGTACATTCAGGTATCTTAGAGAATGCAAATAATTTGTTTGGGTTTTTGGCACTACATGTTAGCATACAATGACAGTTACCAGATGTAATAGCTCTGTGGTACTGATATATATCTTCATCCACAAGCTCCAGGGCCACCTGTTTAATTTTTTCTCGAACACCATCGAGTTTTCTGTTTGCTTCATCCAGAACATCATCTTTGTTAGGTTCACTATAAATAAAAAACACAAAAGTGAGAATTCTTGATAAAAAATTCTTAAACTATCCTTTCCAAGGTCATTGTCTCCACATCACATAGAGTAAAAATAAAATAGCAGGTTGTTTAAAGGAGGGTACCACAGAGGGTGTACACAAGTTTGTCCACATGTTAAGTGCATAATGACCTATTGATGAGGTCATAAAGCGAGATGAGCAGGTTTTCACCTAATGGTGGTGGCACGGTTGGCACTGAAGAAGAGAGAAGATTTATCTTATACACATTACACAGTGGTGTTATAAGAGACTTTTTCATGGGACTTTAATTATTGTTTATTATTTATTTTTATATGAGATATTAGTCTGTTGCGCTACACTTTATTGTTATTCATTTTAGCCCCATAGATTTGTATGGCCTGTGAATCGAAGTGGCCATTGGATCGAAGTATGCATCAGCAGAAGGTGTGTTAGGCCAGGGTAAGGGAGCAAAAAAAGATAAGGGCACTTCGTTTTATTTAACTTGTCAAATTTTAAGATAAGTTAATTTAAAAAAAAAAAAAGGGAAGAACATTGCAAGCATCAAAGGGTCCCAAAGTGTGGTTACCTGTGGACATTTATATGAACAGTTACTCAAGTGCTCATTCTGCAGTAAACCTTAGCTGGCTTCTTTAACGGACTATGTTGTACGACTCAACACATGAAATAGAGAAAAGTGCTAATCTACTGCTCAAACTACACTAGTGTGAAGAGCAGACCCACCTGTCACTTGGACAAATTCTGTTTAAAAGGATAACTACACTATATGGCTAAAATAATGTAGACTTCTGACCATCACACCTATATGACCTTGCTGGACAGGATTCTAAAACCATATTATTATGGAGTTGCTCCCCTTTCTAGCTATAATAGCCTCCACTCCATTCTGAGAAGTGCTTCCACAAGAATGTGAAGTGTCTGTGGGAATGTGTCCTTTCTAAATAAATAAATAAAAATTGTGAGGTCAGGCACTAATGTTTGATGGAAAGACCAGTTTTGCCATTGTTCAATAGGGTAAAAAAAAACAAATACTCAAAATCCTGCAAATCTGAACTTCTGCACAACTCTAGAGCACTGTTAAGGGATTTGGAATACTAAGGCTACGTTCACACTAGCTTTGTCAGCAGGCGTCAGACAGACATTTGGGAAGCGTTTCTAATGCTTCTCAAATGCCTATGAAAATTCTGCACATGGCAGCAAACAGTGCTGTTCACACTGAAGCGTTAGCATCGTGGCAAAACTGACGCCTCGTATCCAGTCAGGAGGAGTTGAAGCCTCCCATTCAAGTCTATGGTGCAGCTCCTCAAACACCTGGCAGGCGTTTGCGGAGCGTTAATACCATTTAACTTCATTATAGGCATTTGTGGTGTGGTTTTAACGCTTATCAAATGCCTATCAACTGCCTCAAAACCACGCAAAGGGCATTTGGGGAGCGTTAAAAACGCTTCCCAAATGCCTGTCAAACGCTATAGGGGCGTTTGGCAAGAGTTAGAAATAAAGTCAAGTGTGAACGAGCCCTTAGTTTTCCCAAGAGGAAACATTAAAGCACAGTGACATCACTGACACCTACAGGATGCAGCCAGTACTCAGGATCTGAAGTTCATTTTTTTTTTTTTTTTTACTTTTTCTTCTAATCCTTTGCTCTTTTTAGTTAGTGTTTTATAAGTCCTTGTGTAACTGCAGTGTGAGCTGGAGTTTGGTTTCAGTTTGTTAGTGTATCTAAATCTGGTAGTACATCTAACAGTCCCCTCCCCCCAACTGACAATGCTGCTGTCCAAAAGGTGCCCCCCTTTGCTCCTCCATCCAGAGTGGGAGCACTCGAATATAGACGGTGTGTTAATGGCCAGATCGCCAGGTGAAAACAGAGGGAAAAAAAAGCATAAAAAAGGAAAAAATACCTCCACCACATCTAATGAATGGTAAGCTGCAGCATATTACATTTTTGGTTTTGGGTTTAATACTGCTTTAATATCAATTTAAGAGTTTTTAAAATTACATTAAATCATTAATCTTTACACCTTTAGCTCAATGAATGTAATAAAGTGACATCTAGTGGACACCTTTAAAACTGCAAACAGAACTAAATTAAAGGATAAATTCACCTTTTGAAAAAAAAATAAATGGATGTACATTTTTTGGAGGAAAACATATGCATTTATTGTTGTTTTTCTAAGGAGCCTGCAGAGCATTGCAGCCACAATCATCAAATCATGGGTGCAATGCAAGCCTCCTGCAGACTCCCAAAACAGCTGTCTTCCCATACTTCCTGTACAGGTAGGCAGATACCTGAAAGCAGGAAAATCAACAAACTATGAAAGCGTTCACCAGCATCCTTACAGCTCATTGAGAACTACAAGCCATTAGTCACAATGGCTGACAGTACTTGCAGCCTACTCATTTGCAAAAAACTGTGAATGAATGAATGAATAAATGAATGATGCAGCCATGTGGGAAGAGTCGAGCATGGCTGAACTGTTTTCTAAATAGTGATAGTGGCTGCGGGGAGAATCCTGGCCCACTGACACAGAGTGGAGAGCGCTGGTGGAAGGAGATGGGAACATAGGAGCTCATTACACCCTAAATATCAATGTGACATGCTCCTGAAGGTAAACTTATCCTTTAAAATAAAACCTGTACTTTGCTCCCTCAGGGCAATGTAACAGGTTCACCGCATAGCCAACCCTCTTATGCTACTGATATATACTTTCCAGTGCCTACCTATTCAATACCCAGAGTACTTTCCGGTATGGAGCAGGTTTTGTAACTCTCTTATATGTGAGCTTCAGCCAAGATTGTATGCAACATTTTCTTAAAAGCCCTCTTAAGAAAGCTCAAAATGCTCTAGGAATTTTATCTATAGGTTTCCCCCTTTATTAAATGTTTATTTGTAGTGATAAACAAAGGAAGCAAAGTTTGGTTTGTTGGATGTTTGCCAAACAATTGAAAAAAATTGCAAACTCTGAAAATAGTGTGGATAGCTGAGAATTGCTATAGGGGAAATTTCAGGCTCTGCATTCCTCATGTCGCTGCTCAACTGTGAAAAGCATTCACATCCAAGACAGTGTGTACTTATGAATCGGCTGTCTCATTCAAAGCTGTTCTCAGATTAGCTGTGGCAGCAAGGGAGGGGGGCAAGTCGGACCTCATAATTATGGTGAAAAAGCACTTAGCAACATGGGACAAAGTACAAAACATACTTTGTCCCTCTACGTGTACTTTGTCCCATAGTGGACAGAACTGTTACAAAAATTATAATGACAGATCTAATACATTTGCCAAAAAGAAACTTTTCTTTTAAAAGTAGAAGTACAACCAGAGCTCTTTTGGCTGTACTTCTGTGGATCACAGGATTGCAGTACGTTATGCACGCCTGTGACCCGTCTTCAGCAGAGAGTGGGCTGAAGCCTGCTGTCATCACTCAACCGGTCCAGGCTGGGGAAAGATCCTGACTTCAAAGTCGGGATCCACCCCAGAGTCTGGTGTGGCACATGGCTCAGCCTCTCAGTGAGTTGCTGAGAGTCTGAGCCAGCCGCTCCCTCCCCCTCCACAGCCCAGCACTCCAGTGAGCACTGGAAGAGAAGAGCAGACAGCAGTGACTGACACCCACCACTCTCTGCTCAGAATGACTGTGAGAACTCAGCGGTCATGTGGTTGCTGAGTTCTCACACTTGGAGCTGACGGAGGACCGATGCTGCATCCACCTAGGCAAGTATAATTGGGGAAAAAAATGAAACCCCTGCTTCTCTTTTAAAGTTGTCCTTGGAAACACTTACACACAACATAAATATACCCGAAGAGACCGCAAAACATAAATAAATAGTAATTACATTAAAACAATGATAATCTGAAACAAAAATACCTGATAACTCTATGTAAAAGGAATATCGTTCTCTTGCTTTCAGTTGTTATGTCTCTGCTATATTTCACAAGTCGTTCATACTTGTCATGCCTTGCATCCAGTTCATTCTGAAAAGCTGGAACAAGTAAATCAAACTTTTACATACTTAGATTAAAATCCGTGAATATGGCACATGAACATTAGATTAATACTGATGCTCAGTCTGCTTAACACCACGCCATGTCATTTAATGGGATTGTTAACAAGAATTAAGGCTTAACCTCCAGGGTGGCACCTTTATCTCTTCAAGTTATCTAGAGATTCAGAAGGGGAAAAGGATTAATATACAAGTAGAAAAGAAATCCTGCTGCTTTTAAAGTGGAAATACCAATAAAACATTAGTGAGCAGGCACTCCTTGGTGGCTGCAAAAGATTTTTGGATTCTTAACTAGCTTTGGATTAGTCATGTCCAACACATGCTACATAGGCTCCTTCTACTTAGGCCTAGTGACTGACTGTAGAGGTTGTAAATCAAAGACATCAGTGATGAAACTGCAGGATTAGTAAATGTTGCACATACTGTCTCCTGTAAAACAATCATGAAACTTTGCCAAATATGGCAATCGTACAAGTCCACTTAAAGATTCAACATCCAAGTAAAGCAAGGGCCTACCATTAACAGATCAGTTTATATGCAGTCGGGTAGGCATCCAGACTGCTGCTACTGAAGGAATAGATCAAAGCTAAGCAAAAAACAGAGTTAGACTTACCGGTAACTCATTTTCTATAAGTCTTCCAGGACAGCCCCTTGAGACGTTGAGCTCCTCCCTCCGGGACAAGAAACACGTAAGCCCAGAACCTCCAGGCCTCCCTTTTCAGTTTTCCCAAGAACCACAGGAAGGCACATAGCCTTCAGGAAGACATAACCATTTATGCATAAACATATATTACCATACAATACTTAGGGTGGGAAATCCCGGCGGTCCTGGAAGACTTATAGAAAATGAGTTACCAGTAAGTCTAACTCTGGTTTTCGCAAAAACATCTTCCAGGACAGCCCCTTGAGACGATAATCAAGAACTCGCGCACTAGGGCTGGGCTGCCACCTGGAGGACTTTGCGCCCAAATGCCTGATCTTCAATCGAAAGAAGATCCAGGCGATAATGCTTCAGGAAGGTAGAGAAACTGGACCAGGTGGCTGCCTAACAAATCTGTTCTGGCGAGGCACCAGCTTTCTCTGCCCAGGATGCTGACAAGGATCTGGTTGAGTGTGCATTATCAAATGGGGGCGGAATATCTAATAACTTATAGGATTTTGCGATTGCCATTCTAATCCATCTAGCTATGGTGGATTTGGAAGCACTGCAACCTTTCCGCACTCCTGTGAAAAGGACAAAGAGACTCTGATTTTCTGACTTCCCTGGATCTACTAAGATAGGCCAAAAGGCTCCTTCTAATATTCAACAAACATAACCTTCATTCCGCCTTGCCTGCGGGAGCAGAACAGAAGGTCAGCAATATTATATCTTGGGACCTATGAAAGGAGGAGGAAGCTTTGGGAAGACACCCAGGATCCAACTTGAGAACAATTCTATCCTTAAAAACGGAAAAAAGGGCTCCCTGATGGAAAGCACCTGCAATTCACTAACCCTACAAGCCAATGTGATTGCTACCAAAAACAGTTTTTAGAGTTAAAAAACTTTATTGAGGACTTCTCCAGAGGTTCAAAGGGAAAAAGGAACAAAGCTTTAAGGACTAAAGATAGGTCCCAAGCTGGACAGGACCTGACCACTGCCGGCCTGGACTTGGAAAGGGCCCTGAAAAAATCCGCTACAAAGGGATCCTGCTGGAGGGGGACCTGAAAGAAAACACTAAGGGCCGAGGCCTGCACCTTTAAGGTACTAACCGAAAGGCCTTGATCTGCTCCATCCTATAAGAAATCCAAGACCGACAGGATATCCAGAGGGCTCCGACCCTTATGTGTCAACCAGGAGTTGAATTTTTTCCAGACCTTAGAATAAATAGCTCTGGTTACTGGCTTGTGGCAGTTCACCAAAGCCCTCACTACCCTGTCCGAAAACCCTTGAGCTTTCAGGAGTTGTTCTTCAGTAGCCACAATGCTAACTTTAAAGTTTTTATCTGAGGGTGCAGTACTGGACCTTGAGAGACCAGATCTTCACTCTCCAGGAGAGGGAAAGGGGGAAACGAGGCAAGTCTCCACAGCAGAGAGAACCATGGTCTCTTCGGCCAAAACGGGGCCACCAGAATGAGGATTGTCTTTTCCAACAAAAATTTTTGCAGGACTGCTAGGATCAGCCTCACTAGAGGGAACACATAACAGAGACTGAATTGCCAAACGTTTGCGAAGGCATCTACCACCAAGGCCCAATCCTGTGGTGGATTCAGGGAAAAGAACTGACTGACCTTCTTGTTTTCCCAGGAAGCAAAGACATCCGCCTCCGGCATGCTCCAGCTCAAAATGATGGTCACAAACACTTCCTGGTTGAGAGACCATTTGTCGTGTTTGACTGGATGCCGACTTAGGAAGTCTGCTAGTGAATTCTGCGCCCCACCCACTTCAGATGGGTGCCAGATATTGAAGACAAGTTTTGCTCGGCCCATGACAGTATGCGGTCTGCGATCACTTGGGAGGAGGACGACTTCTTGTACTCCCATTTGTTGATGTATGCCACCGTAGTCATATTGTACGAACGGATTTGCAGGTGTCGGTCTATAAAGATATGCTTGAAAGGAATCCAGCACTCGCTGGACTGCTAGGAGCTCCCTCCGATTCGAGGATCTTCAAGCTTCCTCCAAAGACCACAACCCTTGGGTCGCTCTGTCGCCTAGGCGAGCTCCCCATCAAAAGCTGGTGGCATCAGTCGTGATGATAACCGGATATGGTGTGGTCCACTCCAGACCCCTGGCTAGATTGTACTGTCTTCAACACTACCAAAAGGGATCTCTTGATCCTGGAAGGGAGTAGGACTGGAAGTTCCAGTGCATTCCTGTCCCCGTTCCAAACCCTCAGGAGAAAAGGCTGCAATGGGCGCTGGTGGAATCTCGCCCAGGGGACAGCCAGGAAACATGTCATAAGACCTACCGCCCTCATGATATCCTTTACTGTAATGGCCAAATTGTTCTGCAGCTCCTGATCTATTTTGAGAATCTTCTCCCGTGGAAGTAAGATCTTCCTTTCTACTGAGGAAATCTCGTACCCAAGATAGGTCACTCTCGGGGGGGGGAGCTAAACATGACTTGTCTCTATTTATGAGCCATCCCAGACTCTGAATGAAGTCCTGGGCAGTCTGTAGATCCTATATCAACCGTCGCTGAGACCTGGCCATGAAGAGGAGATCTTCCAGATAGGGAATGATCATATTAGACCTCAATCTTAGGGGTGCCAAGGCATTTGCAAGCACTTTTGTAAAATTTCTTGGTGCTGAGACCAGACCAAAAAGGCATGGTCCAACACTGCCAGTGGTGGATCTCTGTACCGATCCTTACCGCTATCCTTAGGTATTTCTGACACGCAAGCTGTATTGAGATGTGAAGATACGCATCCCTCAGATCTAGCGTTGCCATGAAACAATCTGGGTAAAGGATGTTTCTTACAGAGAAGATCAATTCCATCCTGAAGTGTTTGTATCGTAAGGACTGATTGAGAGGGTGCAGGTTTAAGCTAAGGCGAAACTTGCCTGAGGGCTTTTTCACTACGAAAAAAATAGGAATAAAATCCCAATCCCTTCTCCACCTGAGTAAGGACCCGTTGATCCACCAGATCTCCAATCAGGCCATGTAGAGCCTGCGCCCTCTCCTGATACCTGGGAAGGTTGGTTACCAGATACCTGGGGGGGGGGGGGGGGGGGGGGAACTTGCGTCGAACTCCAACCTGTACCCCTTTCCTATCAAGTCCAGGATGTAAAGGTTAGAGGAGATTGGGAGAAAGGTCCCCAGTCTTCCTCCCACTGGGCCGCTTGAGTCATTGCCACTTGGCGGGGCCCTGACAAGGATTGAATAAGATCCCCCCTTACCCCTGTTCTTGTGCCCTGTCCAATGCTTCTTGGGCTGCACATCCCTGCTTTGCTGGACCTGCATTTTCTGACAAAGAACCCTCTCGGTTATCGCCTGAAAGGGGTAAGGCACAGGGGCGTAGTTTGGACCTTGAGTACCCTGCCCAGGTCTTCAACCATAATGCCCTTCTAGCTGAATTCACCAGGGCAGATGTTCTTGCGCTTAGGTTGACGGATTCGGCCGAAGCATCAGCGAGGAAATCTACCATTCTAAACAGCAAAGAAAAGGACTTTAGTATCTGCTGTCTGGAGGTCCCTGCCGAAGGATGCGTTTGTAACTGGGCAAGCCAGCATTCCAGATTTCTGGTGATACAGGTGGCCGATAAAGCCAGTTTGAAGCTGATAGAGGTAGAATTGCAAGCCCTTTGGAGCAAAATCTCTTCGTTCTTATCCATAGGATCTCTTAGAGCCCCATATTTTCAAAGTCTAGGTCTGTTTTCTTAGAGACTTTAGATAAGGGACCATCCAATTTTGGAACCTTGTTTCATGGCTGGGATCCATCTTCGTCAAATGGAAATCTTTTAAGACTACCGGAGAAAAAAGTGTTTTCTTTCAGGGTTCTCCCATTCCAGCTTAATGGTATCAACCAGGGAATTATGGACCGGAAAGACCCTAGCCTTTTTAGCATGCAAACCCTGATACATGAGGTCATGCTTAGACATATGTCCTCCTCCTCAATCTCTAAGGTTTCATAGATAGCCTAAAGGAGGTCATCTACCGCATCAAGGGCCGACTTGTACATGGAACCTCTGGACGAGCCACCTTCTTTGTCATCCTCCTCTGAGCCAGACCCTGCTTGGGAAGAGGCAAGGGTCCTGGGATCCTCCTCTGGGTCCTCTACCCTTCGTCTCAAAGCCTCTGATACTGCAGTACCTGCAGACTGGGTCAAAGACCCTAGCGGCATCTGCATTCTATCTAGCAAGCATCTTAATGACAGAAACGTAGTCTTCATGTCATCCTTAATAGAGGCGAGAACCTTATGGCAGGCTGTAAATGACTATCCACACAATTGCAGCATAAGGGCTTTTCCCAAACTGAACCCAATTTCGCCACACAAACTGCACACTTCCTTTTGGGGGCCTGATTCTGTGTCTTGTCCTGGACTTTAACCTACAATAAGCAGAAACACAATACAGGAGACAATCAGCCCAGGCTCCTTAACCCACACAACTTTGATTCTGCCAGTCCCTACTGGCAGTGGCGCTGGACATCCCCAGTGGTCTTCCCCCTCTGAGGCCTGGAAGGCAACAGGAGCGCAGCCCCACTCCTCTCCGAGATGGAGGGATCACGCCAGGCAAGGAGGAGGTACATACCGAGATAAGAGCCTACCAGCACCACACTTGAGACTAGGGAACCTACACAGGTTCTGAAAAGTGCAACCTATCCTTCTGGAAAAAACACAAATACTGAAGAGCGAGGCCTGGAGGTCCGCCTTTTAAGGTCCTGGGCTTATGTGTTTCCTGTCCCGGAGTGAGGAGCTCAACTTCTCAAGGGGCTGTCCTGGAAGACATTTTTAAGAAATCTTAATGAATGTGGTTGGGTTTAGAAATGACCATAAAAATTAGATGTGAGGTGGATGTGGCAGCAAGATCATAAACTGACCTGTATTTGGCTTTAAATGGAGTAGCTGTGGGAGTACAAAACCACCTACAAAGAACTGGCTATATAAATTAGATCATAGCTGAATATGGGAAATTGATCAAATTTGTGCCTGCAGTCCCCCATCTACAAAATATACAGTCCATCTGGCCTCTAACCAAATATCTCGCTGTCACACAAAATGCCTATATAGGTATCACTTGAAGCAATAATTTGCAACCACCTGTGGATAGGCTGTGGCTTCTCCTGAAGGACAGGTCTTTTCTACAGAACCCTACCCACAGTCCACTCCCTGAAACTGTGGAATATCTCCAAATACTAGGGAGGTCTTTTGTCACCTCTGATGTCTTTTCTCATGAATCCCTCCTTCTCCCCTAGCTTTAAAGGAGCCTACAAGATTTAGACATTGGATCGGTCGCAAACTCAAAATAGTTCCGTGTTTTAAAAACTCAGAATAGAAATCAGTGCAGCGCTAAAACACTACATAGTGTAAAACTGAAAAAATATTGAATAATAAAAATACTTATTAGTGATGATATTAATAAATAAATATTAAGTAATAGTGATAAATATGAGTGGATGAAGCGCTATGATGGGAGCAATAAAGTAAATGCAACTGTGAAAGTCTTATAGCAAAAAGTGTTCATAAAGTAGTGAAGGCTTGACACAATCAGGTCAGCATACAGTGCTTCAAACGGGTCCTATTGCACAAGTGGTATCCAATAATTCTGAGTGGCTTTATCCCTGCGGAAGATTGAAAAAAAAATGCGAAAAACTTTCACAGTTGCACTGACATAGCGCCCATCATAGCGCTTCATCCACACATATTTGTTATCACTATTACTTAATATTGATTTATTAATATCATCACTAATAAGTATTTATTATTCAATATTTTTTCAATTTTACACTACGTCATGTTTTAGCGCTGCACTGGTTTCTATTCTGATCTGTAAGGTTTTAGGGTTCAAATGCGGTTGACTCAATTGGATCCCTGAATGCTCGCTGTTTCTTTGTCGTGTTTTAAAAACTGTCTATACGCTTCTAGAAATGGAACTCTTCTGATATTTGCAAATAAAGAACTCTTGTTACCTCTATGATCCAAGCCTCCAGAGATGAAGTGTCTGACTTCCTTGAACAGAAATGCCTCGATGACCCACATTCTCCAGGCTTGATCTCTTTGCTGTACAACTCACTTCTCACTGTCTCTTAACCCCTGCACCACAATTAAATGGCTAAGCAGGTGGCACATAGAAGGTTTTAGATCAATAGTGTTTGGTTCCTACCCAGCTTGCTCATTTCACCCTGTATACCTGTACACTCAATCTTCCAATAAAACATTCTGGAAGAATAGAGGTAGCTGAATGTAAAAATCTAGTTGACAAATAATGTTGCAAAAATATATTTACATTTAAAAGCAAGTATCACTGGTGATGAAGAATCAATAGTACTCCCTTTCCCGTCTTTCCTCTGAGTCTGTTTAAAGTCATGTTTGCATCTTTTAAAGGATCCGGAACCTAGGTAGGTAAAAAAAACAAGATTGAATTCACAATGATAGAAGGAAGCACTGTAAAAACTATTGTAATCTCGGAACAATATACTGTTAAGACTGCTATATCTATGCTGATATGGACTGGGTAATGTGTTAGGAATGTAAGGATGCCCCATTGTTTGATGGAAATTAAATTATCAACCTACAGAGGACTGATTTCAAAGACACCTGAAAATCAAAGTGAAAAAAGTATGCAGCAGGCTAGACCATTTTGCTGAAATTTCACTGCAGCCACTCAAAATGGTACTCAGTAGTTTGTATGGCCCCCACGTGCTTGTGCATACTGGAATATGCATATGACTGACAACATCGGGGCATGCTCCTAATGAGACGACGGATGGTGTCCTGGGGTATTTCCTCCCAGATCTGGACCAGGGCATCACTGAGCTCCTAGACAGTCTGAGGTGCCACCTGGAGTCTTGGATGGACCGAAACATGATATCCCAGAGGTGTACTATTGGATTTAGGACAGACGAGCGTGGGGACCATTCAATGGTGTCAATTCTTTCATCCTCCAGGAACTGCCTGCAGACTCTCGCCTAATGAGGCCAGGCATTGTCGTGCACCAGGAGGAACCCAGAACCCACTGCACCAGCGTAGGGTCTGACAATGGGTCCAAGGATTTCATTTCGATACCTAATGGCAGCCAAGGTGCCATTGTCTAGCCTGTAGAGGTTTGTGCTTTCCTCCATGGATATGCCTCCCCAAACCATCACTGACCCACCACCAAAACGGTCATGCTGAACAATGTTACAGGCAGCATAACATTCTCCACGGCTTCTCCAGACCCTTTCACATCTGTCACATGTGCTCAGGGTGAACCTGCCCTCATCTGTGAAAAGCACAGAGCGCCATTGGCGGACCTGCTAATTCTGGTATTAAATGGCAAATGCCAATCGAGCTCTATGGTGCCGAGCAGTGAGCACAGGGCCCACTAGAGAATGTTGGGCCCTCAGGCCACCCTCATGAAGTCTGTTTCTGATTGTTTTATTAGAGACATTCACACCAGTGGCCTGATGGAGGCCATTTTGTAGGGCTGTGGCAGTGCTCATGTCAGGGATCCCCTCGATCCCTGCCGCGATTGTCCCGGCGCAGGCGCACTGCTCCGCCCTGTACACGGGCACTAGGTCCGGGCCGGCCGCGGCGTTCGAGTTCGCGCATGCGCAGTAGAAGCCGCGGCCGCCCGCTGGGCACCAATGGCAGCGCAGGGCGGGATATTTAAAGGTCCCTGAGCTGTCATTTTGTTGCCTTCTGGTCTTACCTGCTTCCTGTGATTCTGTACCTGTGCCTTGTAAGTTTATTGACCCGGATTGTTCTTGACCTGCTGATTTCTCCTGCCCAGACCCTTGCTTGCCTGACCTCTCTCCCTGGATGCCCCTCATTAGATCTGACCTCCTGTTGCTGACCTGGCGTGTGACCCGACGATTCTCTGCCTGCTCCCTTGTACCTTACCGTCCTCTACGTTACCAACTCGGCCTGTCTGACTTCGCACTTGCTCAGCCATCCATCCATCCATCCCATCGGGGTCACCCGACCTCCTCACATCTGGCTCTCCCTGGTTGGAGCCCCTGGCGAACACCCCTACCACTGACAGGTGTGCTCAGTAGTGGCGACCTGGTCTCGGGGTACTACAAGTCTATCCCCACCATCAGGGGCCCTGATGAACAAGTACCCTGGGGCTTAGACTCCGCGCTCTGGGCACGCCTGACCAGTGGAGTGCTAGTGGTGCCGCTCTGCGGTCCCTCACAGCTCATCCTGTTCCTCCTTGTACAAAGGAGCAGATACCGGTCCTGCTGATGGGTTAAGGACCTTCTACGGCCCTGTCCAGCTCTCCTAGAGCAACTGTCTCCTGGAATCTCCTCCATGCTCTTGAGACTGTACTAGGAGACACAGCCAACCTTCTGGCAATTGCATGTAAAACCATTCCTGTTTTGGAGGTAGTCTCATTGTTGTCCATCTAGTCCACCTGTTAATCAGTTTCAGCTGCTTTGGTGTTAATGAAATTAACAACCCCCTCTGCTACCTAACTGACCAGATCATTATCCCATGAGTTTAACTGACTTGATGCTATACTATGAATAAAAAGTGTTCCTATAATTTTTTTGAGCAGTGTACTAATAACAAAAATGCTGAATACAGTTTTTACTTCAAATACTTTCATTTATATTCTTCAGCTTAGTTGCAAAGCTGTGCAGGGATATTAACAGGGGTTGGGACAAACCACAGCAGTGATGAGAATGGGCAAAGGAGCCCCTGTATGGCGGGGGGGTTATCGATGCAAAGGAGCCCCCTGTGTGGCGGGGTTTGTCGGTGCAAAGGGGCCCCGTGTGGCGGGATTTGTCAATGCAAAGGGGGCCCCCTGTGTGGCGGGGTTTGTCGGTGCAAAGGGGCCCTTTGTTCGACGGGGTCGGTGCAAAGGGGCCACCTTATTATTATACAGGATTTATATAGCGCCAACAGTTTGCTCAGCACTTTACAATATAAAGGGAGACAATACAGCAACAATACAGTTCAATACAAGAGGGTTAGGAGGGCCCTGCTCCTTGGAGCTTAAAATCCTTTACAGCAGTGGTCAGTGCAAAGGGGCCCATTGCAGCTCTAGTCAGTGAAATGTGGCCCCTTTATAGAAGTAAACCAAGCAAAGTAGCCCCCTTACAGAGGTGTTTAGTGGAAATGTGCCCCTTACATTGGTGGTCAGTGGTAAGAATGTCTTGTTACATTGGTGGTCAGGGTTGTGTTAATTAACATTAATGGTCAGTGGAAGAATGCCTTGCCTTACAGGTAAAAATCTAAATTTGTGTCAGTAATTACATCCCTAAGATGCCAGATGAGAGGCTCCACTGGTCCCTCACCACTGGCCCTGCCAACTGATGTTGCTGCCAGAACTATGTAGGTATCATTAGATGGGATATGAACCTGATACTGCTCAAAGAACCCCCTAGCATCCTCTGGAAGAACTCTAGTGTCCAACAGGTACCTGGCTGGGAAAGGCTGCAATTGACTCATTTTAGGTTAGGTTCACTTAAAGCAAAACAGTACACTGCCCATAATCAAGGCAAAACAACAAATTTCCATTAATGTGCTCCTCCAAAGCAGCTCGTACTCCCTTCCTCTGTGTCCCCCCTTCCCCCAGATCTGTTCGGCCACTGGGTGTTTCTGCATATGAAGAATTCAGCACTGTCGTCGCTGCATGGGGAGACTGTTTTCAGTCATGTGTAAAGTTAGCGTACAGTGCTTTACACAAGAATACCCCCCCCCTTTCCAACAGCTGAACACAGCGGTAGGAGAATGGAAGGAAAATGATCAGATGCTGCTGGGGAGGGCAGCAGGGAAAACCAAAACAGGCATCATGCAGCAGAGAACCCACAAAAAAGGAACAACATAAAATCTATGGAACAGTGGAAAAACCAGGAACAGTACAGAACCCCAGGTACAGAGGAAAAACCAGGAAGAGAGCAGTACCCCAGGTACGGCGGAAGAACCAGGAAGAGAGCAGTACCCCAGGTACGGCGGAAGAACCAGGAAGAGAGCAGTACCCCAGGTACGGCGGAAGAACCAGGAAGACAGCAGTACCCCAGGTACGGCGGAAGAACCAGGAAGACAGCAGTACCCCAGGTACGGCGGAAGAACCAGGAAGACAGCAGTACCCCAGGTACGGCGGAAGAACCAGGAAGAGAGCAGTACCCCAGGTACGGCGGAAGAACCAGGAAGAGAGCACTACTCCAGCAACAGCAGAAGAACTCCAGCAACAGCAGAAGAACTCCAGCAACAGCAGAAGAACTCCAGCAACAGCAGAAGAACTCCAGCAACAGCAGAAGAACTCCAGCAACAGCAGAAGAACTCCAGCAACAGCAGAAGAACTCCAGCAACAGCAGAAGAACTCCAGCAACAGCAGAAGAACTCCAGCAACAGCAGAAGAACTCCAGCAACAGCAGAAGAACTCCAGCAACAGCAGAAGAACTCCAGCAACAGCAGAAGAACTCCAGCAACAGCAGAAGAACTCCAGCAACAGCAGAAGAACTCCAGCAACAGCAGAAGAACTCCACAGCAGAAGAACTCCAGCAACAGCAGAAGAACTCCAGCAACAGTGCACGACCCCATGAATGGCCAAAGAAACAGGAACAGTGCAGAACACCTGGAATGGCGTAAGGAAGCAGGAACTGCTCAGAACCACAGGAACAGTGCACTAGCCCAGGAACAGCGCAGAACCCCAGGAATGGCAGAAGAACCAAGAAAAGCGCAGGACCCCAGGAATGGCAGAAGAAGCAGGAAAAGTGCAGAACCCCAGGAATGGAAGAAGAACCTTGTTTCCGACAGCTGAACACAGCAGTAGGAGAATGGAAGGAAGATGACCAGATACTGCTGGGGAGGACAAACCAAACAGGCACCATGCAGCAAAGAACCCATTAAAAAGGAACAACATAAAATCTATGGAACAGTGGAAGAACAGGGACCCGCACAGAACTCCAGGAACGTAAAAAAAAAAAAACAGGAACAGCGCAGAACCCCAGGAACGATAGGACCAGGAACAGTGCAGAAGCACAGGAATGGCAGAAGAACCAGAAACGGCACAGAACCCCTGGTATGGAGGAGGAACCAGGAACAGTGCAGAACCCCTGGAATGGAGAAGGAACCAGGAACAGTGCAGAACCCCAGGAATGACAGAACCAGGAACAGTGCAGATCCACAGGAATGGCAGAAGAACCAGAAACAGCGCAGATCCACAGGAATGGCAGAAGAACCAGAAACAGCGCAGATCCACAGGAATGGCAGAAGAACCAGAAACAGCGCAGAATCCACAGGAATGGCAGAAGAACCAGAAACAGCGCAGATCCACAGGAATGGCAGAAGAACCAGAAACAGCGCAGATCCACAGGAATGGCAGAAGAACCAGAAACAGCGCAGATCCACAGGAATGGCAGAAGAACCAGAAACAGCGCAGATCCACAGGAATGGCAGAAGAACCAGAAACAGCGCAGATCCACAGGAATGGCAGACGAACCAGAAACAGCGCAGATCCACAGGAATGGCAGACGAACCAGAAACAGCGCAGATCCACAGGAATGGCAGAAGAACCAGAAACAGCGCAGATCCACAGGAATGGCAGAAGAAACAGCGCAGATCCACAGGAATGGCAGAAGAAACAGCGCAGATCCACAGGAATGGCAGAAGAAACAGCGCAGATCCACAGGAATGGCAGAAGAACCAGAAACAGCGCAGATCCACAGGAATGGCAGAAGAACCAGAAACAGCGCAGATCCACAGGAATGGCAGAAGAACCAGAAACAGCGCAGATCCACAGGAATGGCAGAAGAAACAGCGCAGATCCACAGGAATGGCAGAAGAAACAGCGCAGATCCACAGGAATGGCAGAAGAAACAGATCCACAGGAATGGCAGAAGAACCAGAAACGGAGGAAGAACCCAGGAAAACAGCGCAGATCCCAGGAATGGCAGAAGAAACAGCGCAGAAACCAGGAATGGCAGAAGAACCAGAAACGGCGCAGAACCCCAGGAATGGAGGAGGAACCAGGAACGGTGCAGAACAGGAATGGAGGAGGGAACCAGGAACGGTGCAGAACCCCTCGTATGGAGGAGGAACCATGAACAGCACACCAGAAAGCACAGAAGAACCCAGGAACAACAGAAGAACCAGAAACAGCGCAGATCCACAGGAATGGCAGAAGAAACAGCGCAGATCCACAGGAATGGCAGAAGAACCAGAAACGGCGCAGAACCCCAGGAATGGAGGAGGAACCAGAAACGGTGCAGAACCCCAGGAATGGAGGAGGAACCAGGAACGGTGCAGAACCCCTCGTATGGAGGAGGAACCATGAACAGCACAGAACCCCAGGAACAACAGAAGAACCAGAAAACAGCGCAGAAGAACAAGGAACAGTGCAAAAGAACCCCAGGAACAGTCAAAGAACCAGGAACAGCAGAAGAGCCCCAGGGATGAAGAAATAACCAGGAACAGTGCAGAAGAATCCCAGGGATGATGAAAAAACCAGGAACATCGCGAAACAACCCCAGGAACCGTCAAAGAATCAGGAACAGAAGAACCCCAGGGATAGAGAAATAACCAGGAACAGCGCAGAAGAACCCCAGGAACGGTCAAAGAATCAGGAACAGCAGAATAACCCCAGGGATGGAGAAAGAACCAGGAGCAGCAGAAGAAACAGGAACAGTGCAGAACCCCAGAAACGGCAGAAGAACCAGGAACAGCGCAGAAGAACCTTGTTTCCGACAGCTGAACACAGCAGTAGGAGAATGGAAGGAAGAAGATCAGATACTGCTGGGGAGGGCAGCAGGGCAAACCAAACAAACGAAAAAGAAAAAAACATAAAATCTACGGAACAGTGGAAATCACCCGGAACGGCGGAAGAACCAGGAACGGCATAGAACCCCAGAATGGTGGAAGAACCAGGAATGGCAGAAGAACCAGGAACGGCGCAGAACCTCAGAAACGGCAGAAGAACCAGGAAGAACACAGAACCCCCAGAACCCCGCCAGAACCAGGAACAGCAGAAACCCAACGACAGAACGACAGAAACACCAGGACAGCGCATAACCCCCCAGAACGATGGAAGAATCAGGAACAGCGCAGAACCCCTGGAACAGCAGAACAAGGAACAGTGCTGAACACCTAGAACAGCAGAAGAATCCCAGGACTGGTCGAAGCACCAGGAATAATTTTTTAGGAGAACCAGGAACAGCACAGAACCCCCCGAACAACGGAAGCAGGATAGCGCAGAACCCCCGGAACAGTAGAAGAGGAACCAGGAAACAGCACAGAACCCCCCAGCAGAAGAACAGGAACGCACAGAAGCAGCAGAAGAACCAGCAGCACAGAACCCCTGGAACAGCAGAAGAACCAGGAACAGCACAGAACAGCCCCGGAACAACAGCAGAAGAACCAGGAACAGTACAGAACACCCGGAACGGTGGAAGAGCCCCAAGAACGTCAGAGAATCAGGAACAGCGCCGAACCCCCAAGAAGAATGTAGGAACTGGGAGCAGCACAGAACCCCCGGAACGGTGGAAGAACCCCAAGAACATCAGGAGAATCAGGAACAGCGCCGAACCCCCAGGAAGAGTGTAGGAACTGGGCAGCAGCGCCGAGCGCCGAACCCAGGAACAGCGCCCCCAGGAAGAGTGTAGGAAGAGTGCCGAAGGAAGAGTGGGAAGCAGCGCAGAACCCCCAGGAAGAGTGTAGGAACTGGGAGCAGCGCAGAACCCCCAGGAAGAGTGTAGGAACTGGGAGCAGCGCCGAACCCCCAGGAAGAGTGTAGGAACTGGGAGCAGCGCCGAACCCCCAGGAAGAGTGTAGGAACTGGGAGCAGCGCCGAACCCCCAGGAAGAGTGTAGGAACTGGGGAGCAGCGCCGAACCCCCAGGAAGAGTGTAGGAACTGGGAGCAGCGCAGAACCCCCAGGAAGAGTGTAGGAACTGGGAGCAGCGCAGAACCCCCAGGAAGAGTGTAGGAACTGGGAGCAGCGCAGAACCCCAGAAACAGTGGAAGACCCCCGGGAATAGCAGATGATTCTGGGAACAACGGAGGACCCCAGAAACTGCACAGAACCCGGGATATAGCAGAAGACCCCTGGAACAGCAGAAGACCTATGAAGAGGGAGGGAGCACAACAACCGGAGGTCTCACCTTCCTTGTGGCTCATGTCGGTGGAGCACTGGTCGGCCAGCCTCTCTCGGAGGAGCCGGCTACTCGGCTCACCAGGGGCAGTAGTCTGAAGAAGCTGACCGCACTCTCCCTCCCGGTACACAGAGCTCCGTACACACGACTCTTCCACACACACCGCGCTCTTGTCGTTAGATGCCGTGCAGAGTTTACATCCGGGTAAACCCTCAGTGCATCATGGGAAGTGTAGTTTCATTTGGCATACGACGTATCGTTCGTCCATATCATACCATTACTCGGCTATACACAGCAATTCCGTCCTAGTAGTAATCTGTGGGGCGGAACATGTGTTCTATTCGTACATACTCGGAGGATGACTCTTTTAGGCCGTAGTGTAGTGTGTGGATGGATATATCGCCCCCAGTGGTTCAGTTCGGTACTAGAAGGACTCGTAGTGGACTACAGTGGCTGCTTCCTCAGTACTTTGCTGGCCTACATACTGTACTGTGCCTGCTGCTGGTAGTAGCCAGTTGTGTTGGGGGATTGTTCACACTTGGATGGTAAAAGGTAGAGGTTGGTGTTTTGTACTTACAAACAGAAATATATGGAGCTGACCGCAGTAAAGCTACATGAATTGATTTACTACAGTGTGGCGGAGCATATGGCTTTCCATTTGTCACCATTACACTTTACCTGAGGTGGAGGCAATCTGCATATAATACTTCAAAAAAATATAGGTTGCGCTTAAATACATACAAAATTGTAACAAAAAATTGACAAAACAATAAAAAACAATATTTTAAATCAAAATGAAATCCAGCAAAAAAGAAAAAGTCGAAACGTTCAAATAATCAATAATGTCCAAAATAATTAATCACCAAGTGAATCCACCACCAAAAATGGTTAAATAAAACTCACCAGAGTAATATGCTGATTGTTGAAAAAACCAGCATATAGTACTTGTTACTCTGGGAGCAATGATTAATATGGTGACAACAACACTGAAGAAATGAGGGATGAACTCCAACAGATGATGTTCTACAAAGCTGAAAATCCACTCCAAAAGGTGATTTAGTATCCAAACTGAGAGATGATCAGACCCTCACTCAAAAGAAAAAAGTGAACAATCATGGTGCAGCATGTTTTAAAAAACATCAAACTTTAATGAAGAAATGCACTTACAAGCAAGGTGTCCAGACTGACACCAGTATAGACAGCCTGTGTAATGAATACAAGCGACTCAGACCCAGCTAAACATGCACATACAACGTGCAAGCAGACCAGGAGCGTGCTGAACGTCACATCCAAAGGCACCGCCCTAAGTCATCAACATCCTTTCCGTGAGGACGTCGATCGAGGGCGTGCCTTTGGATGGAGACGCTCCTGTCTGCTTGGACGTTGATGCATGTTTAGCTGGGTCTGAGTCGCTTGTATTCATTAAGTCTATACTTAGGGCGGTAAAGTTTCAGTACCAAAAGCGGTAACTGAGCTACACTCGGGCTTATCATGTAGCGCGCTGCTCCGGCAGCTGTTCTTCACTTACCTTGTCCTGCGCTCCCATGATGTCCCTCCTGCAGTGCCCCCTGTAATGTCCTCCGGCGGATGCCGGCATCTGTCTTCTGGGTTCCGTCCCCTGCGACGTCAGGATGTAAGGGGGACGGAACTGGCGGGAAATTTGAAAATGACAAAAAGTGACATTCACTAAATACACTAAAATCACATAGTAAAACATTACTGTATCAAACCATTTCACATACATTTTGTCCCAAGTGCTTTGTCCTGTGTCCTGCCTACATTTTTACTGTTCTTATTTCCTGGAAACTGAGAAACGTCCATGACATCCAAAAGGCATCCCTTTAGGTCAAAAGCGGTTTTAGACCAGCTAGAGAACAGCGATAGTAAATTAGAACCACTTGCAGAATTGAGTGATAATGATTCGTGGGGAAATTCGCCATCAGACAATGAAAACAATTTTGCGACTTTGCTCAGTGATGTGCGAACTTGGCGCTATATTTCAAATTTCAGTGTTTTTGGTTTGATTATATTATTGAATTAAGTTTATTATTATTATTATTATTATTTTTTATGATTATTTATTAAATTATAATGTATAATTTTGTGTTTCAAATTTTAACATACCCGGGATGTTTACTAGACTCTTGTTCGGACAGGTTTCAGTGAGTTATTCCTAAAAATTACAGGCCTACAATAAAAAAAATACATATTTCCATGCAAAAAAATGTACCGCTTTGAGCACAGAAATACGGACATAATAGACCGCTAGGGAGGTTAAAGTTTGATGTTTTTAAAACATACTGCACCATGATTGTTCACTTTTTTCTTTCGAGTGAGGGTCTGATCATCTCTCAGTTTGGATACTAAATCACCTTTGGAGTGGATTTTCAGCTTTGCAGAACATCATCTGTTGGAGTTCATCCCTCATTTCTTCAGTGGTTTTCTCAACAATCAGCATATAACCTTGGTGAGTTTTATTTAACCATTTTTGGTGGTGGATTAACTTGGTGATTAATTATTTTGGACATTATTGATTATTTGAACTTTTGGACTTTTTCTTTTTTGCTGGATTTCATTTTGATTTAAAATATTGTTTTTTATTGTTTTGTCACTTTTTTGTGTTACACTTTTGTATGTATTTAAGCGCAACCTATATTTTTTTGAAGTTTTGTATATCCTATAAGTTTATAGGCTAAGTTCTGCAGCTTACTGTTGTCTTATACAATTTCCGTGGCGCTGGTTCTATACTTTATACTGTATATAATCTGCATATAATACCTCAGTCACACATCATAACCCCAGATTGTCCCTCAACCCCCTTCCTGGCTTTCATTTATTTATGACATGTATTATATAGTACTGACAGTTTACACAGCGCTTTACATTCACATCAGTCCCTGCTGTCGAGGAGCTTACAATCTGAGGTCCTCAACTCACATTCATAAATATACTAGGGCCAGTTTGGATAGGAGCCAAATATTCTACCATACCATACTGCTCAGCGCTTTCCTGAACAACAGTTTACATTTATTTCTGGGTACATTTCAGCATTATGTGACCATTCTTTATGTCTACACCGGAATAATGTGATTTTTAAGGCTACGTTCACACTAGCTTTGTTAGCAGGCATCAGACAGGCGTTTGAGAAGCATTTTTAATGCTTCCCAAATGCCTATGAAAATTCTGCACATGGCAGCACACAGTGCGTTCACACTGAAGTGTTAGCATCGTGTCCCATTGTGTCGCGGCAAAACTGATGCCTCATGTTGAGTCAGGAGGAGTTGAAGCCTCCCATTCAAGTCTATGATGACACTCCTCAAACGCCTGGCAGGCGTTTGTGGAGCATTAATACCATTGAACTTCATTATAGGCGTTTGTGGTGTGGTTTTAACACTTGGCAAACGCCTATCAAACGCCTCAAAAACATGCATAGGGCGTTTGGGGAGCGTTAAAAAACACTTCCCAAACTCATATCTAACACCTGTCAATGGCTATAGGGGCGTTTGGCAAGAGTTAGAAATAAATCAAGTGTGAACGAGCCCTAATAGAAAACCTATACCCAATCGCATCAAAATTTGACAGAAGTGCAGTGTATATAAATTCATACTCATGAAATGTGGAGAAAGAACGTGAGAGAAAAGAAGAAAAAAAGATAAGAACGGTGTGATTAGATGTGTCGATGCCCTTCATTTGTCCCGGGATCTAGCATACAATGTTATTCAAGTGGTTGTAAAGGCTGATGGGTCCTTTCACACGGGCATTCTGTTTTTTTCATCAGTTCAGTCACATTTTTTTCAAGAAAAAACAGATCAGTTCACATCAGTTTTTCATCAATTTGCATCAGTTTTTTTTCTCAGTTTACATCCGTTTTTTTTACATCCTTTACCAATGCAAAACAGACCGTATGTCCGTTTACATCCGGTTTTCATCTGTTTTCATCAGTTTACATGCATTTTTCGCCCGTTCCTTTTTTTTAACAGAAAAAAATAGTGTTTTCTTCTGTTAAAAAACCCCAGATGTAAACGGATGCAGACTTTAACAGATTATCATCTGTTTACATCCGCTAGTCCAAAGAAATACATACAGTGAGGATCGAAAGTTTGGGCACCCCAGCTAAATTTGTATTAATGTGCATAAAGAAGCCAAGGAAAGATGGAAACATTTCCAAAAGGCATCAAATTACAGATTAGACATTCTTATAATATGTCAACAAAACTTAGATTTTATTTTCCATCTTTACACTTTCAAAATGACAGAAAACAAAAAAATGGCGTCTGCAAAAGTTTGGGCACCCTGCAGAATTTATAGCATGCACTGCCCCCTTTGCCAAGCTGAGACCTGCCAGTGTCATGGATTGTTCTCAATCATTGGGAATACCAGGTGATGTCAATCTCAAAGGTTTTAAATGCCCAGACTCATCTGACCTTGCCCCAACAATCAGCACCATGGGTTCTTCTAAGCAGTTGTCTATAAAACTGAAACTGAAAATAGTTGATGCTCACAAAGCTGGAGAAGGCTATAAGAAGATAGCAAAGCGTTTTCAGAAGTCAATATCCTCTGTTCGGAATGTAATTAAGAAATGGCAGTCATCAGGAACAGTGGAAGTTAAAGCAAGATCTGGAAGACCAAGAAAAATATCAGACAGAACAGCTCGCGGGATTGTGAGAAAAACAATTCAAAACCCACGTTTGACTGCACGATCCCTCCAGAAAGATCTGGCAGACACTGGAGTTGTGGTACACTATTCCACTATAAAGAGATACTTGTACAAATATGGTCTTCATGGAAGAGTCATCAGAAGAAAACCTCTTCTACGTCCTCACTACAAAAATCATCGTTTGAACTTTGCAAATGAACATATAGACAAGCCTGATGCATTTTGGAAACAAGTTCTGTGGACCGATGAGGTTAAAATTGAACTTTTTGGCAGGAATGAGCAAAGGTACGTTTGGAGAAGAAGGGGCACAGAATTTAATGAAAAGATCCTCTGTCCAACTGTTAAGCATGGGGTTGGATCAATCATGCTTTGGGGTTATGTTGCAGCCAGTGGCACAGGGAACATCTCACGAGTAGAAGGAAAAATGGATTCAATAAAATTTCAGCAAATTTTGGATGGTAACTTGATGCCATCTGTGAAAAAGCTGAAGTTAAAGAGAGGATGGCTTCTACAAATGGATAATGATC